CCCCAAAACCCCAAAACCCCAAAACCCCAATGTTTAACAATTTCAACAAAGAAAGATTAATAAAAATAGGCCTTTGAAATTAGTATTTATTATATAGATTCTCTATGTTATTAAATGAAATTAATCTTTCATTCCTACTATTAAATATCTTATTCTTCTATTTGTGTATTTTCATCAGTAGGCCTTGTAGTTATTTTAGTAATGTTAGCCCTTTAGCCAATTATTTCAAAATCTAATTATTATTAGATTAATGAACTATGAATCTTTTCTTATTCTTCTTAAATGGAAGTGGGCATGCTAATGTACATTCTTTCCTGATACATTTACTATTTATGAGATGCAGCAAAACTTTTCTTAATTGGACTTGCTATTCCTCTTTTTATTTTGTTATTCTGTTATCCCCTATATTTTGTATTCTCTGAATTTAATCTTTCATCATGTAAATTTTAATGTGGATTAAATTTTATATTACGATTCTAAGCTTCTGAGTTGCCTCCAGAGTTTAACCTATTCATTACAAAGTTCAACTAACCATTAATCTTATTGTCATTACTAATTTTATAAAACTAACTGCACTACTTTTTGTTTGAGTTATTGATATAAGTTTCATCGAGCTTATAGGGAGATTCTTAAATTTCCATTTCATCTAATTAATCTTTGATTTTGATATCAACTACTGGCCTTTCGATACTAGCCACAACACTGCTATTTACAGATGATTTTCTACTCTAATTCATCAAAGCTTAATTGCTTAGATCTTGTGGTGGATTATTAGCCAAAGTTGTTCTGCTATTTTACCCTCCTTCATAATAGCCAGCTTTAACTCTAAATTTAAAAGAATGTGCTCGCGTCATAGGATATTCCCTAGATAATGAATGTTGGTTTGATTCTTTTTTAAAATCCCTTGGCTTAAGTCTTGCACTTGGATTAGATGTCAAAGGCTTTTTATCTTTCCAATATAGTTTAGGCCCAAAGCTCTGACTTATCTGATTTATTGCGGGTGTAAGTTAACCTTGTGATTTCTTGTCAGCTCTCTAAGTTGTTACAGTTGATTCAAAGCCCCCATTTTGTCTTTCATGAATTCTTTCAAGTATTAACTAATGAATGTTGTCCTTATTAATGTCTTCTTATAACTTAATTTCAAAACTCGAAATATTTTTCTGAAATTGCTGAAATTCTTGATTTCTCTTTTTAGGTTATTACTTTCTGTCATTACTAGAATGTCTCATTTTGCTTTTTTCTAGAATTTTTTAATTGATCTTTCTGACTTCAGCAGTTATCATATTTGTATTAAGCACCTATACTTAGTTTTTACTATTGATATTGTTTATTAATTACGTAGTTGAAGGATCTGTATTATTTTCATTATTTATTCTGAAAGTGCTTACCTCTAGTCTTGTGGCCCTTCCTTCTTTTGATTCGTATGAGCTTTAATGAGAAATATCTAGTTAAGCTAGATTTTAAGGTTAGTCCACAATTTAATTGTTATTTTCTAGAATATTGCTTAAGGTTTTTTTTTATTGTAAAGAATTATTATTTAATTCTTGCTTAAATGTTTCGTAGTCATTTTAGGGTGAAACTTCAGGGATAAATTAAAATTGCTTTTTTGAAAGTACAATTCTTGAGGGTGTTAGTTTAGAATTGTCTCTCTCATTGAGTTATTTACTAATTTATATTCTTAAACCTTCCTCATCAAAAGTTAAGGATTAAGGTGAAATAGCATAGTTTTATGTGCCATCCATGTGCTATTCAAGATTTGGATTCATATTAATTGATAATTACTCAGGAGAGTTCATCATTAATATAGAACTAGTATCAATATATGACTCTACAGATTACTCTTTAATTTTTTTCATATCCTTACCGTTTACTTAAAAGATGAACTTATTTTCTTAAGATAATGATTCAAGAGTATTATTTTTAATAGAGATACTTTAAATTTCATGATTTTAATGTCTTGGGCCAAGGTTAATCTCAGAAACAATGTTTGAATCGTGATATATAGAGCTTTATTAAGAAAATATTAGATGGTGATCATCATTTTAGTCTACAATTTTGATCTTATTCTTTGGAGAAATTTAATCACCCATCATTTAGGTGTTTAAAGAGGAGTGCTTTTGAATTTTATTTTAATCATAATCTATGATTGCAAGATCCAATCTCTTAATATTCCTTTAAGGACCTTTAAAATTTTAAATATTTTTATTAGGGCTCACATTAATTGGCAAGATATTATTTCCTTAAAAATTAGAGCAATCTTTACTATCTTAATTATAAAGGGAGGAAGATTTATTAGTAGCATAAACCACTTCATATTTTATATGATTATTAATTACTTTAGTTAGCTCATCTATTCCTCTAAATTGATCACCATGAGATAATTTAATAATGTTCTTACTAAATCCTGTCTTACTATTCACAACCTTTGATTTAGGCTTACGGTTTACTACAAATATTGGCTTTTCTTCATCATTTTTTCTCGTATTTATAGCATCCATTATTATAGCTTGCATGTTTGATTATGAAATACTGGTCCTATGATTTTCTAAGGCTTCAAAGTTAAATCTTCTAGATGTAACGCTTACAGAGTTATCCCTAACATGATTATTTACAGTTCTAACAGTATAAAAATTACTTTGAATGTTTTTATCATTTATTTCATTTTCATTGTTATTTTCTCTTGATGATTTTATCTCTAATTAATCGCTTTTTTCTATATTTTCTTCCTTTTTTTAGATGTTTCTAAAAATTTAATGAGTAAGATTTGAAGAGGGGTATTTTTCTCTTAAATGCTATATACCTTCTTCAATAGACATTAATCCAGGGCTACATTAACTCAGATGATCACCACTCGAGATAGTAGCGTCTCTTGTCTCAATATGAAGTTCTCTAAGGTCATTTCTATTTTGAGAGTAGATTCAACTCCCTTTTGGGTATTCATCTTAAAATGTTATATTTCCTCTTTTAGGAATTTACTATGAAATCCCATGAAAATCTAAAGAAACTATATTAGAGTGTGGAGTAATCATTGGACTTCTATTTGCTTTATTCTTAATGAGCTAAATTTATTCATTTACATACTCATTCATTTTTTTCTCTTTTTCATTATTTTCATGTCTCCTCATCTTTTACACCAAATAATTAGAGTTGAATGGAATGACATTAGTATGAAGGTCTTGAAAATTATTAACATTAAGCTTAAAAGCTTTGTTAATTTTAATTTTTTTAGTTTAATAATCATCCTGCCCTTTAGAAGCATTAGCAGTATGGACTGTCTTATTTACATCATTGCTACTTTTTCTTAAATAGTTAAAGCCATTTGAGTTTCTCATACTAGTATTTGAATTTTGAACCTTCGACTATACAACTGATTGAAGTGAAATTAATTTTAAACTAAGATCAGGTGATTAAGATGATAGTACAGTCCTAGTTTTTTGCTTTTGTGGAGATTTTACCAAGATTTAACTTGCTTATATTGATTGATTAATTGCTGTACTAACTTAAATTACTCTCTTTAAATCGGAGCTATATGGTATTCCTAAATTTCCATAATCAGTGCTCAGTGTTAGATATCTTCTTTAATTTTTTTACTCTGTATATCAGTTTCGAAGATGCATATGATCCAGTATCAATCCTTTCTTTTAAATTTGTTAAATGAGGACATCAATATGCTTATTCTTAAAGATTCCTTTAGCCTTCATCAATGGAGGTAATTGATCTTGCATGTAATTAACACTCTAATTAATCACGTCTATACTACCATTCTATATATTCTTTGAGGATGATTTTTGCATCTATTTAAATAATATTAAAAGAAATATACCTGAGAGTTTTATTATTCTACAGATAGAGTGTCTTGACTATTCTTATTCGAGATTTGCTACTATTTGCAAATTTATTTAATTAATTTCTGATAGGTTTCTTTTTATGAAGGTATCGATTAATTAGTTTTCATATTTAATTCTTTGTGAATATATTTAAAAATAATCTCTTAAGTTATCTTTAATGGTGGGGTTTTGGGGTTTTGGGG